GATTTAAAAACAAAGAATCTAAATATTATGAAAGGTATGTTGGAGACACATTTATGCTTGTGTTTTTATCTTTACCTTTTATTACGAGTAGGCTTCAATTTAATTTTTATGTGTATAATTTGTGTGTGTACGTACGTGTGTGCGTATGATGTGTATGTACGTGTGCACGTGTGATATTTATGTATGTATATGCAGGTTTATATAAAATGACATTAAATGTTATCAAACTTAAATATGTATACATAATATTATGTTTAGCGTGCCCAATGTTTGCCACCTATATTTCTACTTGTTGTGGATACTTGCCTGGATGATGAAGAATTGGGAGCACTTAAAGATTCATTACAAATGTCATTATCTCTACTTCCACCTAACGCCCTTATCGGTCTTATTACATTTGGTAGAATGGTACAAGTTCATGAATTGGGATGTGACGGTTGTAGTAAAAGTTATGTATTCCGTGGCACAAAAGATCTTCAACCAAAACAAGTTCAAGATATGTTAGGTAACAGCTAGGTTTTACGTAATTTATCCTCAATTATTGATATATGTCATTTAGTTTATTTTGTATTTTGATAGGTATTGGTAGACCAATTCCAGGACAAAATCCAAATCAGCCAAGAGGACCTGGTATACAACCATTACCACCTGCTAATCGTTTCTTGCAACCAGTACATAAATGCGATATGAGTTTAACAGATCTTTTGGGAGAGTTACAACGTGATCCTTGGCCTGTTGGACCAGGAAAACGTCCATTACGATCTACAGGTGTGGCACTTGCAGTTGCCACAGGTCTTTTGGAAGCTAGTTATGCAAATACTGGGGCAAGGTATGTATATATTGTAATAAACATTGTTTCAATTGTTTATATCATTAAGATTATAATTGATTCTATCAAAGCTAATGTATTTAAGGATTATGTTATTTGTTGGTGGACCATGTTCTCAAGGACCTGGCCAAGTAGTAACTGATGATTTGCGACAACCAATTAGATCACATCATGACATTCAAAAGGATAATGCTAAGCATATGAAGAAGGCAACTAAACATTACGATGCACTTGCGTCACGCGCTGCCACTAATGGCCATATAATAGATATTTATTCTTGTGCCCTTGATCAAACTGGTTTATTAGAAATGCGTCAATGTTGTAACTCTACTGGCGGTCACATGGTGATGGGAGATTCATTTAATTCTTCTTTATTCAAACAAACTTTTCAACGGGTATTTTCTAAGGATGCTAAGGGTGATTTAAAGATGGCATTCAATGCCACTTTAGAAGTAAAAACATCTCGGGAAATTAAAGTTTCTGGAGCAATTGGACCTTGCGTATCATTAGGAGTGAAAGGATCCAGCGTCGGGGAACAAGAAGTAGGTTTGGGTGGTACTTGTCAATGGAAATTTTGTTCATTGACACCATCCACAACGACAGCATTATTCTTTGAAGTTGTAAATCAACATACAGCTCCAATTCCACAAGGTGGAAGAGGTTGTATTCAATTTATCAGTCAATATCAACATAGCAGTGGACAAAGAAGAATCAGAGTTACTACTGTTGCAAGGAAGTAAATATCTAGTTTTCTATTTGTCAATGTACATTGACACAATTTATCAATTTTTACCATTTCTCAAAATATCTTAATTATAGTTGGGCAGATGCAACATCATCACTGCATCATATAAGCGCTGGATTTGACCAAGAAGCAGCAGCTGTTCTCATGTCACGTCTGGCTGTATTCAGAGCAGAAAGTGATGACGGTCCGGATGTTTTAAGATGGGTTGATCGTATGCTGATTAGACTTGTTAGTAGTAATTTTCCTTAATAAAGTTGCACAAAATCTTACAAAAATAACAATAACTTAAATAACTTAAATAATATAATTTTACATTTATATAATATATTCTTTGTACATTTTTTAAGTATAAAATTTTATTTTTTCAGTGTCAAAAGTTTGGAGAATATGCAAAAGATGATCCAAATAGCTTTAGATTGGCACAAAATTTTTCCATGTATCCACAATTTATGTATCATTTGCGCAGATCTCAATTCTTACAAGTATTTAATAATTCTCCAGATGAAACCAGCTTTTATAGGTAAACTTATGTCTTATTTTTATGAATGTATATAACAACTCACTTTAATGTACATAATATTGATACTTAAAAATCTTGTCAATAACCTTGGCTTTCAGGCTTGTCAATAAGTTTAAGGTTTTTTACTGACATACATACATTAATATATAGACCCATATGTCATATGTGCATGTGTGTGTATTGTGGCTGTTATGGATTGTGCTCCAATATTCACTATCAGCATTGAAAATTTATAGTGGACACAACGTTTGCTATAGATTTTCTGTATTAAATGAATAAAGCAGCCTTGTCATAAACTTATTGACAAGATTTTTAAGTATCAATATTATGTACATTAAAGTGAGTTGTTATATACATTCATAAAATGCGCAATTTATCTACGTAAACCTACAATGTACATACATACTTTTCTTCATATTTTTTAGGCATATGCTTATGCGTGAAAATGTAGCAGACTCTTTGGTCATGGTCCAACCAGTTTTATACAGTTATGGATTTAATGGTCCACCAGAGGCTGTATTATTAGATACTTCATCTATTCAACCTGATAGAATTTTGTTGATGGATACATTCTTCCAGATACTTATATTTCATGGAGAGGTAAATCAGTAGCCATTCTTTCAAAATACTGTGATGGTATCTTGCAAGTTCTTTTTACGATATGACATTCTGGATGAGAAAGAAATAAAACTTTATTAACAAGTCCCATGATCACCCCTTTTTCGTGTACTAAAAGATAGTGTAAATGGAAAATTAGATATCTTTCTGGAAAAGGATGGCTTGTGATACAAGTCAAAAATAATAAAAGTGTTATTTAGAGGGATTAGTTATTTAAGGGAAACGTTTTAAAAATTGATAAAATTATCTTACAAAAATACATTTAAGAAAAATTTGTTGTACAATCATGCACGCGCACGTATTATGTATATTTTATAGAACTTTATGAATGAGTAAAACATTTGGTTGTATTGTTTTAAACTTTGTTCTTATAGACTATTGCACAGTGGCGACAGTTGAAATACCAAGACTTACCAGAATATGAAAATTTCCGGCAGTTACTAGCAGCACCTGTTGATGATGCTGCTGATACGTTAGCTGTTAGATTTCCTGCACCTCGGTATATTGATACGGAACAAGGTGGTTCTCAAGCAAGATTTTTATTAAGTAAAGTCAACCCAAGTCAGACTCACAATAATATGTATGCTTATGGTGCGGTAAGTAGAAAAAATGTATATGTAATATTTTGATGATAAAATATGCATAAATGATAGAAAATAATGAGGACAGATACTTATATGTATTTTTTTAATTATTATTTATGTACATGATAAGACATGATAAGACATGATAAACATGTCTTGGATAAACAAAAATTTATAATACAGAGTGTTCTTTATATAAAATTGTAAAAAATTTATTGAAAGATTCTTTTCATCTCTTTATTTTTAATAAGATAAAACTATAAAATTTTAGTTTTTTTAATAGAATTGTAATTTGTAATTTAGGAAAGTGGAATATTAAACATTTTAAAATTGCAAATAAATTTCATGTCTATCTTTAAGAATGTTTACGTGAAAGTTACATACTATGTGTGTAACTAATATTGTTTTTTTATGTTACCGTGATCCTGTGAACTAGGGGATGCTGATATCTAATGGGGTGTGTTATTTTATTTATTTTTTCTTCTTTTTACTTAGCCTCTTTGGTGATCGGAGTTTTTAAGATTAACTGTATTGATATTTACAAAAAATGCAATTTTTTGCCAAAATTAATATTAAAAATGGCGTGCAGTACAGGGTAGGAACATACGGTATATGGATTCACTTAGCAATATAATGGCCACCACTTGCCAAGGTCCTAAAAAATAGCGTTTAAGTTTCAATTAAAATTATTATTTGTTAAATACTTTTTAACATTTATAAAAAGTAATAAGTAATTTTAAGCTTACATCTGGTGATGGAATTAAAATTATTAAATTAAGACAAATATGCTTGAAATTAGTTTAATTACATTATTTCAATTGCAATGTACGACATATGTTAAACTTACAAAAACTCTTTTAGATATACATTTTTTAGATATTTATAGTTGATTTTGAAAATTTGTAAAATATAAATTTCCACAAAGTTTTTTTTTAGCTTAAAATGCTTCTGTTTAATATATGTGTATTATTGAAATTGTTTTTGAATGGAATACCAAATTTATTAAAGAATGTTTAAAACAGTTTCGGTAACTCTGTAGAGTAAAAAGGTTTAGATTAAAATAGTTTTAGTATTGCAATCATGAAAATTTGTATACGGTAACTAAGAAAATATTTCTGAATACTTAATAAAAGTATCTTTTTTCTCTCTTTTTTTCTTTGTGTCTTCTTGTGTCTTTCTGTCTTCTTTTTAACAAATGCTTGGGTAAATAGAAATTAAAATATTTCTAGTAATTTAAAATAATAAAAAAATTGATTTAAATATGTATCTGATAGTTATTTAATTTCAGTTAAAAGTAAAAAATTGTAAATTTATGTAAATTTATAAATATAATGTTTCCATAATTTAATAACAATTAATTTTGATTGTTTTATTTAGGAGAGTGGTGCTCCTGTGCTCACAGATGATGTCAGCTTACAAGTATTTATGGAACATTTGAAGAAATTAGCTGTATCATCTACAGCATAAACTTATATAGCATAAACTAATCGTATTAGTATAGTAAGAGATATACAAGCTACATGTTATGATAACTATTCATTTATTGTGCGAAGGATTTATATTTAGAAAAACAAAAATAAATTAGTGTTATAAAAATGATAGAAAAGTAAGCAAATAAAAATCAAATATGTAAATATAATACATGTATTAACATTACAATAAATTAAAAAAATGCTTAATGTAATTTTGTTTTAATATAAATTGAATTATTTAAAATGCAATTTAGAAGTAAAATATAAAATATTTAATGTTAAAGCAATTAATAAAGTTCACAAGGCTTACATCTAATAAACATAAATTCGAAGGAATAAGAACTAAAGAGCCGTGACAGAATGTTAGTGTCTAAATAATTCTTATTTATATGTTATATGTACATATACAGGGTGTAAAATGATTTGCACGCACTATTTATGCAGTAATAGTCTTTATGAAAAACTGAATAAAAAAATCCCGAGTCATATGTTCGAATCATACTTCATAAAAGTGATAAAAGTAGTTATGATTATTAATTAAAAATTAGCCAAGCAGCATGGCTTTTTAAACGGACGTACCTTCGTGAGTCATGTGTACGTGAGGCAAGCTGTGCGCCTTAGCGGTGGTGTGTCGTGTCCGAATAACTTTGGATTATTATATGTATACTTAGGATTACTCACCCACACTTATATTTTGTCACAGCCGTACGACGCATTATTCAGGCAAACCCAGACAAGGTATTATGGCCTACATGTCTTTTAGAGTTTTGTGTTTAATTACATTTTAACATTTGTCAAGAATCAATAAATTAATTCTGGACAATTGTGATATGTCCGTTGTACGATTTGTTCTTATAATATGAAAGTCCTTGAGATTATTCCGTGATAATTATTCCGTGTCGATTAGATGAAATAAAACATTATAGCAGGACACACAGACGAAACATAGATATAATTTTAATTTATGGTATTATATAACTCATTGAATTGCTTTATATTAATATATAAAAATATAGTATCTGCACTATGTACACAATGTTTTAAACATTACGCTCAAAAATAAAATATTTGATCAGTAGTAATTTAGATAATAATTATAAAAATATTACAATATAGAATATTACAATATAGATTATATATTGTCATTTGAAAATGGAAAGCTAATATACAGATATCTCTTTGTTTTGACTTAGCAACTCTTTCCATAGCAGACAACACAAAATATGCTATGTATTAATCGCCCCTAGCTTTACATTAATCATTAATACTATAATGAACTTTAATTCACTGTATTTATAATTGCATTAAAGATTTTATGAGAATTCTAAGGGATACTGAAATAGCGGATATATTGAATATTTAATGTTATGAAGGGTGGAATAGATGCGAATAGTATTTGAAAACTAACTTCCGGAGAAATGGCATATTTACGCTTGAAACCTCAACAACTGCTTCGTATTCTTGAAATACTGGGAATATTATCCAGTACATCGCCGAAACCAGTTTCTGGTCGTTATTCGATTTTAAGAAATATTATATGGTGTCTAACTTTCGTCAATTTAATATTTCAATTAATTGGCGATTTTCTGTTTTTTTTTCACTGTCAAGATAGCATTATGATGCTGAAAACTATATTTATATCTGCTTGTGTTACCGATGCAGTTCTAAATCTCATAATATGTCATGTTCAAAAAGAACGACTTCAGGTAAAATAATTCTTATTGCTTTAATACAAACATAACGTTGTGTAAAATCTGAGACCTTTCAGTGGGCAGTAATCCCCGTCCTCATCTAAAAATCATATACAAATCAAACTTGTCAATAGTTCTGTGTCTTAAGGTCGACAACCCGGATCGGCGCGTAGTTTAAAGTCGAAAAATAAACGCGAAAATATCATCATTAGACTGTTTATTGAGAAATATTACCACATGCCTCAGTGGTCGAATTAGTGAAACGTCCGTCTAATGAGGAGGGAGGTCCGGATTCAAACCCTGGCTGAGGTAATTTAAAACTTATTTGTACACCTAATATAGTACTTAGCGGTGGCTATGCAGCCTGATATCACCATCGCAATAAACAGTCTAATGTTATTTTCCCCGAGTATCGCTTATCACGGCTATATTCGAAACTAGAACCGCGCGCCGACTTATTCATCGGCCTTAAAACACAAAACAATTAAGTATCCCCAATACTACCTTTAATAATACCCAATCTTGACATACGCTTTCCATTTCAGCTTTTCATCTAGTGTCGAGTCTAAGTACACTTCAATTGAAATGGAATTATTTGTAAATTGATTAAAACGGGAATGTTTTAAACTTTTTTAGTAAAATTTACATGAATTGAACCCAGCTGAATTTGCTACTTACATTTGTAATTTAAAATTTGTGCCATGTATTTGATAATATCTAAAAAATTATTTACAGTACCTGCTAAACGAAATTGAAAATTACCTGCAGACTGGAGATGAAAATGATATAAATATTCTACAGAAACATGTGGATCGTTATACATTAATTTTAATAGTAAACACTTTACTGCTATCATGTGCTGGAATGATTATCTTTGTTCGTCCTTTAATTACAAAAGATTATTTTCCTGTCGATGTGTGGTACCCTGCATCTTTTACGATGACACCATTTAGAAGATGTATAATTTATATCTTACAAGTACTTACTGGCATAGAATGCGTTCTATGCTTGAATACTGATATCTCAATCGCCTTGTTTTTCTGTTATTCTGCGGCTAGACTAGAAGTATTGCAACGTAATCTACAAAATACAAAAACCAAAGATTATATACGCAAATGTATCATGCAGCATCAAGATATTATCAAGTGAGTAATATATGCTATTTAATATATTGTTTATGTATGAAGAAAGAAACATTTTTATTTAATATTTCTAATACAAATCTTAATATCATACAATCTTTAAGAAATCGCAGAAGTTTTATTTTAAATTATAAGAATTTCATTGTAGAAAATAATGTGTATACATACTTAATGTGTAATTTATCACAAATAAAATAGTAAATATAACATTGTTATAATATTTTGTGACAGTGTAAGAATATAATTTATTTAGATTTTCTCATGACATCTAAGACAGAATTAAAGAATGGCTCCATTGAAAAATTTAATAAGATAACAGAAGTTAAAAAATGGCTCCATTGAAAATTTTAAAGGGATAGCTATCAAGTAGAAATTTATGCATACATCTATTATAAACATCTATATGACATATTATATAAAAATTCTTTTAACTATCGCTAAGAATAATAGTAAATATGCACAATTTATTCAAGATATATTTATTCACTTTATAACGAGGTAATTTATAACAAGGTAAATAAGGACCTTATGTAAATAATATTTACATAATTTTGATTGTTTCTGTGTTAGATTTGTTAACCTAACCCAAGTCACAGTACAATATTTGATATTAAAACTTAATCTTACCATGGGTACAGCTGCAGTTTGTAGTCTCTTTCCATTGATTATTGTAAGTTTATTAATTGACTTTCATATTTTACTTTTTATTTCTTTTGATGCAAACTTATTGTTTAAATTAAATTACTAAAAGTAAAAGTATTGTTTAAAAATAAAAATGAGTTTTTTCACGTCGAACATTTAATTTAATTTTAGGATCAACCTCTGGTTGTTAAAGGTCAATTTGTGTTTACGTTTCTCAGTGCGTGCGAGAGATTTTACATTAGTGCTTGGTCAGCAACTGATTTAAGTGAAATGGTATAAATGATTTGTTAAAATCTACATAGTTACTATTTTAATACTTTAATGACATTCAACTTTTAAATGCCAATTAATTAAATATTAAAACGGTTAAACACATAATTATTAGAAGAGAACTGTTATGTTATTATTATTAAATCATTTTGTGAGATTTTAGAGCAAAAAAGTAGCATATAGTGCTTCGTTCGAGGATTACGTATCACCAGGAACTGTGAATGACATTCTGTTTTTAATATTAAGAAGTCAAAAGCCTCTTACAATATCTATGGCAGGTTTCCTTCCTGTTCTTTCTGTAGAATACTTTGGAAATGTAAGCAAGTTTTTATTTTAAAAAACCAGTGTTGCACACATGTATTATATAGATTACTAAAATCCATTTTATCTTGCAGTTTATGACAAAGGCATTTTCCTATTTTACGGCAATGAAAAGTTTTATTAATACTTAACTCTACGTCTATATTTTCCGTTATATATAGTCTTTTTATAGTAGGAATTATTTTATTGTATGTATATTCTCACTAGAAAAATACATAAAAAATTTTAAATTAATGTACACGTTATTACAATAATACCTGCCTCACAGCTTATTTATGGATAGAACGGGCTGGACTAACAATGAGTTGAAAAGTCCTCTATCATTTTGCAATTTTCGCAATAATTATCTAGTTATTAATTATTAAAAACCGCAGTCTTGGGGGAATTGTTTATGACACAGCAACGGCTACGTATAATAAACAACTCCCCGGGTGTCTAGCAACCCCGACCAGGTTGCGTGTTAAGGTGCAATTTCATACGAACAAAGAAAAGCCAGTGTTTATCCCCACTCCACCGTATACAAAGCTACCATTAAAATGCTAACACTATCGCCCTTCTGCATCTTCATGCTGGCGTTTTAGCATTTTATTTACATCATATATTCAGTATTTTGTATATGTATAATCAATAATAAAAGCTAAAAGAAACATACTATAGTGTTATTTAGAACATTCTAAATATAAATCATTATATTAAAAATGGATTATAATAGTTAATATATTATTATAACTACGTTGAACAATACAGACGTATAATGGCAGTTACAGTTGCAGCAGATGTTAAAAGACGACGCATAGCTATTGCTGCTGCACTGTTCTTGAAAAAGAAAATAAAACATTAAAAGAAAAAGCATTGGGTAGCATCTATTTTTTAAAATCGTACTACACACAGTTTTTTCCTTTGCGCCTATTCCAAAATTAATATTGGAGGACATACGAATCCACAATTACTTTGGAATGACTGCAACTCAGTTGGAAAAATTATTGGTCGCAAAATAAATTAAATAAAATTTTACATTCAACGTGTCTTTTTGCTCATTATACATTATTATTTTATTAATTAATTTTATATACAAAACGTACAGGGGATTAAGGTTTAATCAAAGTAAAATTTGAAGTAAACCTCGTACGTGTTATTTATTTGAATCTATTTGATCTCTTACTTAAAAAGAACTTATTTTAATCTTTAAAATACTAAGAGCATTGTTAGCTTCAAAGTAGCATTAGGGCAAAATTGTTAGAATATATTAGTGTAGTATTGAATTATAGTTTCAAGTCACAGTTATAATAAAAAATAACTTTATACATATGGATGCAGGTGGTAAATACCACGTAAATTGAAGTATGATAACTATAATAGAAGTGCACTTTAAATATAGTAATTAACTATTATTTCCTTGACATATAGTTATCAGGATTATATGGGGTGAAAATAAGAAAATTTTCCGGGCGTTTTTACAATTTTAATAAAATCGAGTTGTAATTAAAATTGAATAGGCAACAATATTGTTTGTATCTTCAAATTTTTCCGACATGTTTGCCTATTACAATATTATCTTCAATGAATAGACGAAACTAGAACCACGTACATCACTATAATGCCGAAAACCTATATAAAATATATTTGAAGTAAATATATGAAAAATTCTACATAGTACCTACGATGATGTAAATAGACATGGGGTGCTCATAACTAGGACAAGTTTACACATAGCAACGTGCAGGCCTTAATTTCCGCCATTTTACAACAACGTGGTCGTGCACATGGTGTTGATTAGGATTATAATCGTTATGACACAATGCTGACGTGTTGTGTAAAACATTGTAAAAGTTTAATTATTGTCGCAGTGACCGAGTAATATATCAATAAAATTTTATTCATTTATTAGAATTTTGCAATTTTATAAAGCCAATTTCAACTTGTCCACAACTAAGAAATAAAAAATTTTAAATAGTGGAAATATATAATTTTCGATTCTTTACCAAAACTATAACAGAAGATATCAATTTTTGTAGTAGTCCTAATATTATATTAAATCGGAAGAAACAATCACAAATATAATAAAATCAAATGACGATATTAATTACCGAAAATGTAAATTGGCTATTCAAATTAAATAAGCCATAAACTTTGGTATGTAACGGATGTGCCCGTAGAAATATTCCCAATTCGATAGCTTCCTAAAAGCAAAAAAATATCGTGTCAAAATGTTGTCTTTCTAACTTTTGACAACAGAACAAATATTTATAATTCGAATAGAAAAGCCGCCTAATTCTGATATGTCAATCATTTATAAAATAGAGATATATAGGATAAATGTACTCTAAAACAATATTTTCAAACAATTCTGATGTTCACAAATCTATCATTGTAAAGCATGTATAAATCAAGAAAGAAACTGTTGATAAAGCTATAAAACAATTTCTTATACAAATTTTACTTACAGTTAAGAATTCGTTGTGATTAAATATGGGAGCCTCTGCTGAGAATATTGTACTTGCCAATGTATTTGCCTAAAACAATTTTAGGCGGCAGTGGAAAAGTTATTATGTCACACAAATTGCTTATCAATATGCAATATACTAGTACCTGATTGCATGTTAAATGACAGATACGGCTTATGGCGATAACTTGAAATGATAAATACAAAATTATCATAAATCGAAGGCAAACCAGCAACACATTGTCATGTTGAGTATTTGCGTGAAGATTGGCGAAGATACAATTTATAATGTCTATTAACATACACGCAATCCAACAGAGCAATTGCGGACTATAATAAGAAGTGAGATGATTTGTTGCATTACTGAGATAACGATGTAATTGCTGAAGATTCATGATCGTAAGATTGTGATTGTCATATGTTTTAAATACATCGATATCAACACCAACAGTTATCCCTGTGCAAAATGTTAACATTTGCTAACGTCATTTATACATAGGTGTGTGTGTGTGTGGGTGGGCAAGGGCGTCCGCAGAATTTTTTCCAGGGGGGGGCATCATTTATATTGTTAAAATATTACTTCCAGAATACTTATATGATTTCAATGTTATACATATATAAAGGTGTATATACATGTATATACACCTTTTGGTAATAGCTTTCTCACCGCGACAAGGTATGCCAAATAGGCCAAATTTTTTGCTGATTCCAAATTCTAGGGGGGGGAGCAGATGCCCCATCTTGCCCCCCCCCCTCCGGACGCCCTTGGGTGGGTGGTAAAATTATGTGTACATAGAGAATCTATCTTATTTTTAGATATTAATTTAAATATTTTAGAACATGTACCACTTTTACGAATTGTTAATAACATTTGAGTAATTAGTTGACATTATTAAATTGACTTGATTCGGGTTATTCAATTTGAAATTATTAATTGACTATATAATACCACATAATCCACGACACAATATGTTGAGACGGCGAAATCTGCGACGCAATGCATCATACAAGAAACAAAATTTCGTGATCTCCATGGAAAACGTCACTCGCGTAATAAATTGCATTGCAAATGCATAGTAGGTGAGTTCGCTTATAACGTTTCTCGTTTTAATAACAAGCATTGCTACTGCAGCATATAGGGCCCAAGCACAGAGGATCAATAATATAACCAGCCGCTGCATATGATTCTTTTGATTGTTATCCGTACACCAACGGCGAGATTGCATTAAATTATCGTATTTACGAGCTATGGTTACAGTGCGTTCAAATTCTGTATGACGCAAGCACGAAAACAACGTTGACAAGATCATATAAAGAATTCGAGTGTATCGATTAATTTGTTGTAGGACGCATCCCACAGTAACAGTCGCGCAAGAAGTAGCAGAGCCGATTGTGTAATAAGCTGCGACGCAATACAAACTGCACGCGATTAGCGAGTACATCGCCAGCGGTCGAAAATATGTAAATTCTGACATTTCGTTGATTGTATGTGGATGACAACCGAAAACTCGCGATACGTATAGCAACCATCGACAATTTTCCAGCATGATTTCACAGGAACTGACTTTACTACGTTTCGATCATTATTCTCCGATATTGTTAGCATGTTGCTATGTTTCACTCGTACTACCGATAAAGTACAGATAAATCTCATCATTACTCCGTACAGGGTTGACATAGAAATAGCTGTAATTTCTATCGTGTATAAATCTCAAAGAGGATGATAAAATCATAAAAAGTTTCTGACATTTTTCTACTTTCTTAATAGTATATTGAAAAAGGAAAAATATGCAAGAAAATTAGGTCGTTGATTTTCTGTATTAAATTACAAATTAATTGACTGTTCTAAAATCTTCTGTTAATAAGCTAGTATTAATATTTTGTAATTATTATGGGAGATAACTTATAAACTGTCTTCAGAGCGAAGATAACATATCGTGGCTTCTCGAGATGAGTTTTAATGGCCCACGAATGCTTGGTTGTCTGCTGCGACAGCGGAAACTTGTACAGATCCCATGAACAAAAACCCATGTTGAGCTATCGTCCGCTTTCTGAAGCACGCAGCATCGACAGCTTTCAAGCTAAAGCTCCAGTGCCACAGCTTCAAACAGACAATTTTCGAGTAAAAAATTGTTAGGGCTAGTTCAGGCAGTCTAAGGCCCCGATAAGGATGATTCCTTAAAAAGAAATACCCTACTATTGACACATTGGGGCCTTACTAAATATTATTAAGAATGCCCAAGTTTTTATATGAATTACAGAATGCCTTATTATTGTCATATCGGAACCATATTGGATATTATTAAGGATGCCCTAGTTTCACGAATTTAGGGATGCTCTATACTATTGTCATATCGGGCCATATATGGATATTATAAATGGACGGCGTCGCCAAGGTCAGGACAAGGCCACCTTGAAATGGAACCCTCCACTTTTTATTGCATATTCCAGCCTAAATGTTCACGTTGAACCACTTCCGATAGAGGCCTATTCTCAGAGCATGCGGATTTTATACGTGCGCGCGCTTGCGCGTGTGCATGTGCATATACGCGTGCGCGTGTGCGTAATATTTTACTTAATGATACAAACTGTTACAAATAAAATATTTAAATTTAATTACAATATTATTCGCGAAGTGGCGGTATACGGAAAAAAGCAATAAATTAAAATATTTTATGAAAACAAGAAAATTGATTTTAAAGCTGCTGGTATCTTGCTACAGTTGTCCCTGTTTAATGACATTATAAGCGAGACGTGATATGCCGAAAATTCTTGTATGCTATTTTGAAATAAAAAGATATTTGGATAAACGAATACTTTATTTTCAACAGTTACAATAATCAACTGTAAAATGAATGTAATATGAAGCTTAATCATACACCTGTGAATAAATGCATGACTAGGCTTCGTATCAAATTTATTTTATGGCTGTTTAACTGTTGAAAGAAAAGGATAATTATCGAATAACTTCATAAGTGTGCTACAACAATCTATATTTTTTTATTTGAAAGCGGCATTCAACAATTCTCAGCATTTCTTGCTTCTGACATCATCAAACAACCACAGGAAGAGCTCAAGAGCTTTGAGTTGTCTTCTGTAAAAAATATATAACAGCTATCTTCAGTTATAATGTCAGAAACGAAAAAGTAACGAGAATACTACAGAAAAGTATGTATTACAAATTACAAACTTGCTCTATCATAAAGTTTCACTGATGGAAGATTTAGTAAATAGTTTATTACTTTAATTTCTTATGCTTTCTTAATTTCACTGTCTCTAACATCTAATTTAGAAGAACACTGGAATGCATTGCATCGTTTATGAAGAAAAAAGTTGAAATTTAATGTTATTACATTACAGGTAAATTTCAAACTTATTGTATAACTTGTACAAAATAATAGAATTTGTAACTATTAAAAAAATTACAGGCTAGTTGACATAAAAATAAATGTATAACATTAATAAACCTCTTATAAATGCAATATATGTATATGAATTTTAATCTTTTTTTCTCTATTCTCTTAATTGATATAATTTATGAAATATCACTTTATTAATTAACTAAACGTAATAATAGTGCAATGACACATACAACATATATACATATACATATATACATATACATATGCGCATATGTGTGCTGATACATATTTACAACTAATAAATACGTTTTACATAAAAGATAAACGTAATAAATAATAATTTTCTTGTAATAAATAATAATTTTCGGAAACTGATTTCTGTTTGCATATACAGGGTGTCAGTGAATGTTTGGGACTTATTTTTTGTGTAGATAGAGTGGACCAAAAAGATAGAGTCGAAAAGTCCTGTATCATTTTACAATTTTCGCAATAGTTAACGAGCTATTATTTATAAAACATCGCCGGAACACCCTGTACGTATACATATTTTATGTAAATGTATCTTATATAAATATCTTATATTTCTAAAACAGTATCCCGTGCAGTTTTTATTTCCTATAAAAAAAGTATTACGTTTTAAAAAATAATTAGTTCAAGGTATTTTAATTTTGCATACTTTTTAGAGCAAAACTGTATTTAATATGTTTTAAAATATGTTCTGCTTAAGAAAAATATACAGTTGCGTTTTCCAGAGTTGCACAAAAATACATAATAGTGAAATATATAATTAGAGCAACTAAAATTATTATGTTTTTATCTTTTTCCCCCACAAGTTAATTTTGGTGATATAATCCATATTTACGAATATGATGAGTGCATGATAAGTTTGCATCACTTGCAACTGTAATTTTAATAACGGATTGAACTCAAACAAAAAAAAAAACTAATTAAAAAATTTTTAAATAAAGAGTACTTAAAGTGTCATTAAATCAAGTAGTTACAATTTTGAGCATTCTGACATCGTTGAATAAAGCGTTGTATCGCTCAGTGATACAAGTGTCACACATTGACCTCATATGATATCGTAGTACACACCACACATTATAATAATGTTAATTTGTATTTCTTTTATTGACTGAATCATATTTAAATACCTTAACATATTTAATATTATTTATCATTGTATGCAAATAATCTTATAAAACTTTAAACCTCTATTATTAAAGATAGCCTCAAAATTTTTGCTTTACAATTTTTGTTTTATTTAAACTCACTAATACCGTTAATAATTATAATCACAAATTACGGAATACTCAGGATGTGTAACACACACACACACACGCACACGCACACGCACACGCACACGCACACACACACACACACACACATATGCGCGCGCGCACGTGACGTGCACACAGGAAAAAGTACGTAAATTAAAAAGAGGAAAATAGTGCCTGCAATAGGAAGAAAGAAAAGTGCATGTGCCTGTATTCTCGCATATCTACACGTATATATAGATAAAAAGAAAAGACACATAGAGGAAAGTCTCCTAATATGAGATAGGCTTCTAATACGAGATAGCGGAGTTCCTACTAAATTAATAGGCATCATCTATTGGTTCCACTAGGAATTTATTACTCTTGGAGTGAAATGTGTTTAGTGGAAAATTGATTGTTAGATCGTGTAATCGTTGCAAAAAAAAAAGATTTGTGACTGAATTTGGACGTTAAAAATCTACTATTTCATATCAGACTCCTATCTCATAATAGAGGGCTTTCCTTTACATATACATATGCGTGCACACATACATTAATACATTAATACATAGTGTCGTTCAAGTATCCGATATTCTAGAGTATCATTGATAAATATAACACGATTGGCCATGTTCAGCAGAGAAAGCTGTTCAGTGAGCGCTTTGTACTGATTGAATTATACTTTTAAATCTATGCTCTGATAGGACTATTCCTCTAGATTTCAATATATTTCAATCAGCGCGAAGCACTCACTGGGCTATTTTCTCTGCTGAACGCAGCTTCTATCTCCGTGTGCTTCTTGTTTAAATAAACCGTCTAATTTAGCATATTGAAAATAATGGATAAAATATACAGAACAAGTAACTTGATGACTTTAAATAGATTGTAAAATACTTGCTATATGTAAACTTGTTCTAACAAAAGTTATAGCAGGTATTTTACGATTTATTTATTTAAGATTATCAAGTTAGATAATTCACTCTGTATGCATACAACTCAGAGAAATTTTCCTAATGTCTTTTTAATTTTTTCCTGCAATGTTGAACCTATTAAATAATCAATAATACGCACGCATAAACAGAAGAAATAGTATAAAGGAAATTAATAGCAAAGTGCATATTTGTCTGAAAAAAAAACAACAGAGTACAACTTCTGTAGAATATATCAGACCATCTGTACCACACCTTTATTTTGAAAAATACGCATTTTGGCAAAATGTTTCATACAAAAGTTGTATGGTTTTAACTGAGATATTACATAGCAATATTAGTATAATCTCGAATAGCTTTGTCAAAGACACATAAAGTCATCTTGAAATGTTTTAATGGAAACCCCTTTTTTCTATCACTTTCTACTAATTATTTTGAACAACTTTTGTCTGAAACATTTTTTCGTTCAAACTAATATTTTTGAGATATTCAAGGAAAACTTTGTAATTTTTTCAATATGTGACTTTAACTTTTATTAACTTGACAACTTTTAAGGTCACTGTAGAGCTTTCAAAGTTATCAAGTTAACAAAAGTTGAGGCACTATTGTAACGGCATATTCTTGAGACCAAGTCAAGTAAAAAATTCTGTACCACTTTTGCCTCTCACAAATACATAGTTATTAAGATATTGTAAGTTAAATATTGAAAAAGTTACAATGTTTTCCTTAAATATCTAAAAAATATAAGTCAAATAAAAAAATGCTATTCATAACGCTATTCAAGATCATACTAACATTGTTATGTAATACCGTACTTAAAACCCTACAACTTTTGTATGAAACATATTTTTAAAAATAAAAGGGTGATACGGGTGGTCTGATACAGTCTGCGCGCATAACGGTATTAATACAAAACAATATTTTATTTAAGATTGTCCTATCTACAATCTTGAAATGCTATATGGTCATTTAATTGACTTTAGAAAGCTTAAAAACATCTAAAAACCATCTAAAACCAAAGTTAAGACAATCTTAAATATAAGGTTACATTACAAATATTATTCTAGATTAAAAAATTACTTTGTTTCTTTCAACAAACAGCTATAAATAAATACGTGTTGCGTTTATCATTTGTAATTATAAGTTGTAACTGAAATTGCATTCATAAATTATTTTGACTGGGTTTTTTAAACAAACAGCGTCATTTTATAGCATAGCTTATGGTAAACCTGCTCGAATTTGTTTATTAAAGACAATTTCGAGCAGGTACAAATAATAGTAGTTTTCAATTTATGTAAAATATTATTATTGCAAACATTATTGTAATAATAATGTTCAATGCAAATTAAAAACCTACTATTATTTGTCTTTAATAAATGTAGCAATAGTTTTATAATAGAACTGCTCATTTTGACTCGTTTATCGGTAACTTTTCAAATTATAGTTAATTGCTCTTACATAAATACATCTATTTAAGGGGAAACATACATTTAGAAGGGCCAAAAATATATCATAAATAAAAATTAATATTATATTAATGTTATTATTTTATTATTATCATTAGTATTATTCAACAGGTCTTTTCCCTAATCTTTTATACACACTTTGGTAAATAATCCATAAGTTTGGAAATAAAAATACTAATAATACAGAATGTATCAGACCTGGCATAACACTTGTCATTAACAGATTCTTGAAATTTTGAGACAAAACTTAAGAGAACTTATTATTGGTTTATTTTAAGACAAAAACCCTAATACCAAAACATCGAAGCTATAATAGTTTTTAAATTAAAACTGTTCAAAGTCGACAAATCAATTTATCCAAAATTCGCGCGCTCGGACATCACATTGCACATTGCAGTAGCGTAGATGCTTTCAAGCTCATTAATTCTAATTTTCAATAGTGAATATAATTTTGTATACGTTTAATCTGCATTGTTGTAATTGGTTTAGGTTTATTGTACTTATGGATAAATTACCAATTAATTATAATAATAACAATAATAGAATGAGAGATATGAATATTAACTTTGTGAAATATGATACATAACAAACTATCAAAAATATTACATAAATTTTGTTATAAATAGATGACAACTTTGATGGTAAAAATGTTCAGATCAATATAAATTGATGAATTATTTTTTACGCTTGTACAAAATAGAACAATGCAAAAAGACTTAGTAAAAAGAAAACATTCACCTCTCTGAGATGTCCGTTTAGAGTGTAGGAAGGTCCAAGTTCAACCCTGACTAATTGTGAGATATGTTTCGCAATACATTTCTTCAATTAGAATTTACCAGTTGGGTTGCTTAATTCCTACATTAGATAATTTGTTTTTCTCTTTTTTCTAAAATTTTTATGTAGTATTCTATGTAGGTCACTCTTTAATAGTATTAGTGTTTAGATAATATAAAAATTAAAATATCAATTTCTTTGATCCTTCTGGATGCATATCCCCTCTTAAGAAATTTAGAAAGCAATAAAGTTTCTTTATTCATAATCTTTTCCTTCATTCATAATCTTCATTCATAATCTTTACTGTCGGTCTTCATCAGTCTTATTCTCATTATTATATCAACGCAATTTGATACATTATTTATAAATTGCTCATTGTAAGATAGAAGGTCGAATTTTGTTCCCTCAATTTTGAATAAGCTTGAAATTGTGTCAAAAAATACTAAGCAGTTCGAACTAGTATACTATGCTTATCTTGTAGTAATACAAATAAAAGCTTTACACTTGAATATATTGTTCATCATCGGTATCCCCTCCATTGCTAATTTGTTCCAAGGAATTATGTAGTCTTATTTTTTCATAATCAGTGTCTGTTTTCTTCTTACTCTTTACCTTCTCGTAACCGTCCGCATTTACATCTAACAAGAAATTATTCACTTGTTCATATGGCGGTTCCTCATTTTGTGCGACACTCATATACTTTACACTTTCATAATTTGGATCCGTTTGGTTTACAGACTCATAATTTGGATCTGTATCACTATCACCGGGCCGACAGACAGACGCATAATTTGGTTCATTTGTATCATGTGGCATACTCTCATAATTTGGCTCTGAATCTGTGTCCTGATCCAATTCATCTTGTCGTCGCAATCGTACCTTCTCATAACCGGGATCGTCACTGCTAGCGTTGCTTACTTGTCTGTGTTTAGATGGTGTTGAGTATATATCCATGTTTTTTTTCACGGATATTGAACTGCTTTGATAGTCACTCTCCCGCAAACATTGTAAATGTGGCATCTCATAGTTCGGATTGGATGAATTTGCTGTGACTCTTGCCACAGAGTTGCTTTGATTGTTAACAGCTTCATATGCGTGATCAAATTCCGAATGCAACGGAACATCTGCCTCAGCTTTAAGCAATCTTAAAGAAGTGCCATTGTTACATTCTGTGTGAAAGTTGCTTGCAATAGAATTGCTAGTAGAATACTGTACAACATCGGGTTCCTTCTTCTGTATTTCCACAGATTCGTGGCTGCACCACGATGCTCGGCTGATCTCTACAAGACTCAATTTTCTGCAAGCACTTGTTTCAGAATGTGAAGCATTGTTAGAGCTTGGATGAGCATCGTTCTGAGCATTCTGATGGTCCTCTATCTCCCTTTTCTTCTTCATTACTTTGGCATACATGTCTTCAAGCGATTTTCCTGCTGACAGCGAAGATCTTAATCTGTCATCATTTTTATTTTTTTTATCAACAGATGCATATCCCTCTGCGGTTGCTTCAGGTGGTGGTGGTAAAGGAGAATTTGCTTGGCGTTTTTCGGGTTTAGGAGATCCGAGATTGATAACAGAGCTGTTAGCACTTGATGACGATGCTAAAAATAAGAAAAACAACTTGATAGAGCACTACCGCACCATAGTAGAGCGTGAGATGTTATATCAATGTTAATTTTTCAAATTTTTAGATTGGCCAAGGTGGTCTCGTCGCATGGCTCGCAAGATCGCTTGATTTAAACCCACTTGATTATCTCCTATGGGGTCACTTAAAAAATGGTATTTGTTGGAATTCTGTGGCAACATTAGATTTGAACGAACAGCTTCATTATGCAATTATGCAATAGCAACTTAAAGGAAAAACAAAGGCGTACATATGATTTAAGCATTAATTAATTTACCAAGAGGTTGAAACAACCTATCCTTAATGAAATAAAATATTTGTTCATCAGCATGTATCATATTACAGTTATAATATGATAAATCAACTCTTTATATACAGTTTTAACATCAAATCTTTAAAATTATGATGTAATCAAGTATTTTAAAGATCCTAATTATATAAACACTATGTCAAATAATTACTTCTGTGCTTAGCTCTAAAAAAATGGTTTTGTTTAATAACGTCATTATTACAGTGGAATTTATTACCTTGTCTGGAGTGGGCGTGTGCAACATAACGTAAACTATCGACACTTGGTGGTTGGGGCGCAGAATGTGTTTCATCTGGGCGCGTAGGCTGACAAAATGCTATTTGTTCATGTTGTGTTTGCCTCTGAACTTCTGATGTCATTGGTTGAATTTGTGCATATGTTTCACTTCCACTGGTATATACTTTCTCCTGTTCGTCAATTGCAGCATACATTTCATCTACAAAACGTCAGAATGTGTAAAGTTTCTATGTGCATTATATTTATTATTTATATAATCATATACTTCCAAAGTTTATTTACCTGAGTCATCAGAAACGGTAGCATAGTGTGGGTCAGTAATTGGTCGAGTAGATTGATTTTGTCGGTAAACTGCTTTGGTCTGTGCTATTATATTAGCTAATGGTTCTCTCACGCTTATGCTCGTATATCCTTCTAGTAAGATCGAAATAACACAATTTAGTAAAAATCATTCATCACACAGTAAATATAAGATTGCAAAGAAAGGGGAAAATATTGCAATTACTCGAATCTTGCGAATCTCCGCTAAAGTGCTGTTGCGAATTATTCTGTTGGGAATGTGGTGGATGTGGCAGTAGCAAGAGAGGTGGCGTCATGTAAGGCAAGTCTTGGTTAGCTTGGACACCACCAGAGATAGCATTAGCAGCCTGGATGTCGTAATGTGTCTCGGAAATAACAAGCGAATTGTGCGAAGTGGATCGTCGGGTTCTCGGTGGCGCAATTGGATTTCCACTTGATTGATCCGCTGATGTTGACGGCTTTTCAATATTTGTAACTTGATTAACATTATTTCTGTAAATCATAAGAAATTAATACATATTCTTAGCGGTAAGACAAAATAAAGGTATGTGGAATAGTATAAAGTATAATAGTAAATAAATAATACCTATTTACTTGACTAGCCTCAGTTTTCTGAACATTTTGTAATTGTGCATAAGGATGTTCAACTGAAATAAATTAAAATGTGATTAAATAATAAACAAATATAAAAACATTAATAAAACCTTATCATTATAAAGTATTTAACAATAAATGACCTACCATTGTCAGAGACAGAAGATGCAAATCTTGTATGTTGATGAGATGTATCTTGTGGCAAAGAACACCCTTGCAAGACAATTTCCTGCGTTTCCCTTTCACACGCCTGTTCTTGAGCTAAAAGATAAATTGATAGAAAATACAGTGATATGCAATACAGTAAAAAAAAAAACTATTTTTCATTTTAATAACTCGATATTACCTGCATCCTGAACTGTAGCATACAATTCTGAATGGTCTCCCATAATTTCGGTGGTCTCATAAATATCTTGCGGCACTGAATCTACCATATCCTCATGTTCTCTGCTCTTATCTTTTGGAATATCTGGAAGACTTCTATTGGCACTTGTAGTCCTATATAAATATAATATTCTATTTAAATAAACAAATATATGCACACGTATACTAACGCATGCACGCACATACATATCCATGTACACATATACGCACACATGCACACTCGCGTACAAGTGACAACTAAAAAGGAGAACCGTATCCATTTATTCCTTTTCCTAAAATAAATTTACAAACTTCACCTTCAATTTTACCAAACAAACCTCTGAATTAATAAGACTTTATCATCTAGTTAATGCTGTGTTATTAGTAAGTACAAAAATAACAAAATTTCTAAACAAATTATCATATACGTGAATGTATAAAAATTTAGTAACAACTAGTTACAGATTGTTATCAAGTTATTCACATGCTGGCAGGAATACAATATTAATTACATTTTACTGAAATAAAATTATAGCAAGAAATAGATTTCAATTCTCGTTCTAATGTAATTCGTAACATAAATGATTTAAAAACCTATTCCACATGAAAAGTGTATTTGTTAGAAAAAAAAACTACATGCAACCAATTCATTTTTTAAGTAAAAACCTTTTTCCATCGTTGACATCCTGCTTAACAACCTGGGGTATATCCAATGTCAGAATTCTGTTGAAATTGTCTGTTTCGGAATTATTAAGTGTCACCATACCATCAAGTCCCAGAAATTCATTTCTGTAAGAACAATACGATTACAACTGTGTAACAAGTGTAATATTGTAAATTATCGCATAAATTATGTTTTAAAGAAAATAAATTTAAAAAGACTGATTTATACATCGAGAGAAATTTGAATTTATAAATTGCTATATAAACTCAATAAAACTGTTACTTTATTACGTTAAAAGATGTCTTTACTGAAGAAAGGATATTTTGTATTTTCTTTTGTCACAATTGTTATACTCTGTTAATACGTACAACAAGTAACTTAGGGTTACTGGAAACATCAATTTGTTACTCCAAATAATAATTAATGACAAATTGTTAATATATTCACTTAGTCTCATTTCGTCGACAACTGCAGATGCAAGCAGCAACGAGGCCAAGGAATGATAGCAGCGCACCAACTGAGACAACCCAGTAACACCAGGCATCCTCTTCCTCGAGAAACGGATGTATCATATTATAAATTTCTCGCTGGGTACGTTCCTCTTATTCTAAAACGGCCGAGATCAAGAATGATGCTGTCAGTCCATCGCGTGTAACATAACCTCACTGCGACGTGGAATGCACCCAGGAGTACGATTATCCACACCATCTACCGCGTCGACTCGGTTCGGCCGCTTCACGGTAACGTTTGTTACTCGCATGACCCACGTTTACGCCCTTCAAGTAGTACTTTCTTCACAATTTCTCAAGAGGTCTATTATCTCCTCCCGTTAACAGACATCTCCAGTCTGCAATAACAATTTTACACAAGCCCCGTAACCTTTAATTCTTCCGCATTTATGTATCGTTACTTTATATAATTTTTCCTATTTTTCGTACGTAACAATACATCCCACAATAGTAAAAACATTCTCGTAAGATAATACAATGCAGCTAAGAGAAATAAAAAAAATCCACAAACTAATCAAGACAATTACGTTCGTACATTATACTGATATTTAATAATGCAAGACATAAATATCATGTTACCTCATTATTAAGATATTTTTGACAAATTCCACAGTAGTAACCAAATCACTTTACGAGCTTCTCTCATTATTTTTATTTTCGCCAAACCTTGGGCGGACAAAGAATCAGCTCTAATTATGTTACTAGGGAATAATCAAGAATCTCCAAACTTTTCCTTCTCGGCAAGGGTGCGTTCGGAAACGTCATCCGGGTGTACTGCAGTTTTTCCGTTTCGCGTTTGAGTGAACGGGAAAGAAGAATAGGATAGAAGAAGAGGAAGAGGAAGTGCACTCGAGTGACGTTTGCGAACGCATCCTAGAAGAGTATCCCTAGAAGTTTGTTCGCGTTGCACGCTCCACATGCTCCTGCTTGCCCCAACGACCAATACCGTCACTCAAATTGCAAACAGAAGGACGGTATTGGTTGTTGGAGCATGCAACGCGAACAGACCTCAGGAGAGTTTACCCCCACCACTGCGTCGCGCCCCGCGACCGGCCAATCAGCCTTGCCCGCGCCGCGAGCACCAGTCAGCACGAACTGAAAGAAAAAAAAATTGACTCAGAGAATATCTGCAGAGTATCTCAGGGAATTGAACTTGAATCTTTAATGCAGCCGCACTTTATTAAATGCAGACGCACAACTCTGTGCTATAATTATTTATTTTTCAAGGCTATGGTATTAAAAAATGTGAAAAAATATTTACTTTTTCTTTTTCACCATGAGTGCACAGGTATTACATATACGATTAAATAATTATTCTCATCGTTACACTAGGAAACATATTTATAGCGATGTTCTATAAAGTCAAACAATGATGCCATACAAGAAGACGATGACATTTCGTGGACAGTATGACCTGTTTCAACAAAAAATTTGATATGTTAATTTCCATATTTTTGTTTCTAGAAAATGCAACGCAAAGAAAATGCATGTTTGTTTCCAGAATCTTATTGAGTTAATAAAATAATAAATTAAAATAAAATAATAATCAAGTAAACATTTATACCGGCTGATACACATTCGATATCTCCATTCACAGTACGAAGAGGTGTATCTAATGGTTGATCCGAACAGATCCAGTTCCTGAAAATCTACAATACATAGAAATTACAATCCATAAAATTGCCGTAATTATCATGCTTTACACATCTAGATCAGGTTAATTAAAATAAAAATTTACTTGTTTATCATATAAGAGAGTTTGTAATTGTGATTAAATAAAGTAATAAAAGTGATTATTTTTCAATCTTTTCTTCTTTTTTCACTCATTTATTATAGAATCAATTGTGATATTTGCATAATTGAATTTAACATATATTTTGAAATTAAATCTCTGTTGTTTAACCCTATTATTCTTTGGCAGAGATAGAATTATAATTTTATTTACGATATACTTACTTTTATCACATTTGCTCCTTCCTGAGATTTTGTAAGAAAAGCATCTGTTAAAGCTACTGCAAAAACTTTCTGTTTAAATTCGTCTGCGTATTTTCTTGCCTATAACAATATGATTGTGAGTACTATATATAATAATAGAAATATTATTACGTACACAAATCTATCTAAATTCGATTTACTTACAAATTGAACCACACACTGTCCTCCATAACTGTGTGCAACAATAGCAATATGTTTCGCCTTACAATTTCGAATATAATCATTCCAAACTGTTTCTACGTGCTTATGAGGATCTTCACTACCCTAATAAAAAATATTTAGTCATTTAAAATTAAAATTCAGACAATTAACAGTTAAAATAAATAATCAAATACAATGTTATCGAGAACTTGATATACAGCTTACTATAATTTTATGCGATTCTCCTGCAACAATTCTTTCATTGTCATTGGTATTAAGCACTAAGATGCCATAATTCAATTCCTTTGCTTTTCTAATATACGGGATTTGTGTACCAGTGGAAATATTATCATTTATTATTAAACGCCTAGCCCACTGTCCAGCCCTGACAACACCACTACCATGAATCAATATTATCAATTTGTCGTAGTCATAAATATTTGGACTTGCAAATATAAATGATCTGGATTCTAATGAACTCTGAGAGATCTTTGGTACTGGCACTTTTTCCAAACCTTCCAATTGTAGCAATTCATATACGTAGCAAGTAATTATCTGTAACAGAGTGTACAACTATAATAATATCTAAACTCATTAATTATTCCTAAATTGTTATAAATTATTGCTTACTTCGCCTAATTCTTCATATCGCTTCTGATTATGTTCCTCATTGTTACTAACTTTAAATTCAAAACCTTTATTAGTCAAACCAGAAACCATATCAAATTGTCGGAGTCGTCCATCTGCAATAATATTTAACATTTATATTTATCTCTTAGTAAAAATACTTTATTTGCTAGAGTCGTTAGAATTTCAAAAATTAAAAGTATGTAATGTAATAATTAAAAAAAAAATTTAATTAATATGATACATGTAAGTAATATATTCATTTTTATACACAGTACATATATTCATTTTTAAATAAAAATGTTATTTAATTTTTATGTATACAGCCAATTTTAAATAACATCAATAATAGTTTAAGATTTTGTTAGCTAATTGAGCTCTTTTAGTTTAAGTTCTATTAATATAAGATATATTGCGTGTATATATATGTATATAATACCTTCATCAAAATCATAGCCAAATTTTTGTAGCAGAAATCTCGACTGCATCGCCATAATTTCTCAATCTATTTCTCTGCAAAGTGTATTTTTTATTAATTTCGCTTTTTAATACATAATTATAATTTCTAATATATTACAATAATTGCACATAATTACATCTTTTAGAGCACTACACAAGTGACAGTACTACGCAACTCAAATGTGATTACTAGTAAAAATTAATTAATTAATCAAAAAATCAAAAAATTTTTGAAAATTTCAAAATGTGATGTGATATGCACACAAATGCAAACATTAATAAAATAAAAGCTTACAATCTGCTTTCAATAAAGTATTGCCTCAAAATTATTTCATTTTCTGCAGATAATGAACAACCAGCCATCCTTTAAAAATGTTGTTGCTCGATTACGAGGGCTGAAATCTTTTATTCTTACGTTTCTAATGTTAATTTTTAAGAACACGGATTAACTATAACCTCAATTTAATTTGCCCTCTAATATCCACTTCTACTAGTATCAATTAATTTTAATGTTAGTTAGTTCTCTTTCTATCTTTCTCTAATTTCTTAAATCTAGGAAAACAATGAGTTTTCCTGCGTTCACATTTATTACATTCATTAAAATAAATGACACAGTGGCTTACCTTAACCTATTCTTATTCTGTTATTAAATTCGTTAAAACCACTGACAAAATATCATTAAAGACAGCCGGTCGCATACCCCAGTATGCTCCCGTTTGACTTATCGACCAATACCGTCATTGTATTTACGATGTAAATGACTGTATTGCATAGTTCGAAAAATGAAACTGGGCGCAAGGCGCCGGCATCAGCCGAGCGAAAACGGTATCGAGTAAAACGCCGGCGTGGCCGCTCTCAGATTTCTCTCTGCGGTATTGTATACTTTAGTACCAATTAAAATGTTTCATTTTTGTGAACAATATGTAATAAATAAATGTAAAAATGCCCAAAATAAACAGATAAATTAATACAAAATAAAAACTATATACCATTTTTTTTAAATAATTAGTTGAAAAAGCGATTATGCGATTATCGTTTTGTAATAATCGATTATTATATAATCCATTTTTTTAACATTGCCCATCTCTAGGTTGACGATAGTGTTGGTCATTTAAAATTACGAAGCGGAATTGCCCTACTCGCTAGCTGGCATTAGAAATCATGTGGACAACTACGAGAATTCTGGACGGCGGCTTTTCCGGGCAACTGTCGCGTCACGTGGGCGCGAAAATCGACGGCGATCCGCTGTGGACGGCGCGATTCCTCGCGACTGATCCCACTGCTGTTCACGCCACGCACCTGGACTTCCTGCGCGCCGGGGCCGAAATAATCGAGACCAATACCTACCAAGCGTCCGTGCCTGGCTTAACAAAGTATCTGAACATAAGCGAGAGCGAGAGTTTGCATTTAATTGCCACAGCCACAAACTTGGCCAGGAGAGCCGTGGACGATTACGTCCGAGAGAAGAATCTCAGTTCAGAGCAAAGACCCAAGGTCGCTGGTTCCTGCGGTCCTTATGGCGCTTGTTTGCACAACTCGTCTGAATACACGGGCTCGTATGGAAAGACCGTATCCCGACGAGAACTGATCGACTGGCACAGACCGCGCGTTAAAGCACTATTAGACGCTGGCGTCGATCTGCTGGCCCTCGAAACTATACCCTGTGTCGAGGAAGCGGAAGTCTTGCTGGACTTGCTGAGGGAGTATCCTCACGCTCGCGCGTGGCTCTCCTTCTCGTGCCGGGACGATCGGCTGATCTCGGACGGCGGCGTGTTCCAGGAAATAGCCCTGAGCTGCTATCGCGCCCTGCCATCGCAAATCGTTGCGATTGGCGTCAACTGCGTCGACCCGAGACACGTGACTCCCTTGCTGCGAGGTATCAATGCAGAATCATCAGGGCGGGATCAGATTCCCCTGGTGGCGTACCCCAACAGAGGTGGCAGCTATTCCGCGACCGACGGATGGACCGCGGTCCCGGACGATCATTCCCTGAATCTGCCCTTGTCGGAGTGGATGGGCATGGGGATTCGTTACATCGGCGGCTGCTGCAGGATCTTCGCGGAAGACATCAAGATGATACGATCGGAAGTGGATCGATATCGCGAACGTGAATGCGCGCAAAATGATTTCATCATCTCCGCTGATACCAGCGATCTCTGAATACCTAAGATAGTTTTTATACCAATTTTTATATCGATACGTACACTCGTTAGAATCAAAGATAAACCACTCATCTTTAATAGTTTTCGTTTCATCAGTTGCTGTTAAAGGTAAACGCATTTATGGCTACGTGAGATTTGTGGAGTACAAGATTGAGGACTATGGCTAATGCAACACCCAAAGCGCCTTGAAATGTCGAGTAAATTGACTGAAAATACTGATGTGTACATATGAATAAAATATGAGAAAAGTTATGAGATGTGTAAGAATTAAAAAAAACATAAAGCATATTCCTTTTTTTATAAACACATACATTTGTTATTTTAGCAAACGTTAAACATTTTTTTAATTCATTTCTTAGATAAATGTTTCGTCGCATTGAATCAAATGTATCATTTATTCAAGAGATTTATCAATGTATATCAAAGACTCGCCTACTGGATATGTTTTATCTGCAACGCTGACTTCAACGCTATCCATTTCAGTATTTGCGTTAAACACAGCATTCCGTGGAATCTCAGTTTTTCCCTTTAAAATGTTTCCTGCTACTGGTCTAACTCTGGGTCCCAAAATCGGATCGTTATACCGATATAACACGATTGAGGCAGGATCTGGACAAAGTATATATTTAAAAAATTCTTAATCTTGTTGATCATTGTGTAATTAATAAATTATACAATATATTATATAAAAAATTAAATGTCCCCGTTTACCTTTTATATGCTTATGTTGTTTTGCAATAAAGGACACCATGTCTGCAGCAGTTACAGTCAAAATTGCCATGGACAGTTCGAGTAAATTGCTACAACTTTGCGGATTAACAAGATTTATTGAGACTATGGGCGTCGCAGAAAAGTTCATGTACGGTGCACCTGGACAACATTCTTCTCTCGTCTTTTCTGGAGCCTCATCCGTGTATTTAACGACGATATCTTGAAGCTGGTAATAAACAAAAATACAGTAGATGATACATAGTCGAATATTAGATAAAATGAAAATTATGTATTTGCTTACGCCTAATGTATTTTTAAGATAATCTTTGTTGTTTTCGAGTACGTCGAATTCATTGAAATCAAGAGTCAAATTCAGCGCACTGAGGCCAGCGGTTTCCATCTTTTCCTTGACAAACTGCACGAACGGCATTGTCCTTTTCATATATTTTTTCAACTCAGCTTTGCCAGCGAACGCTGTAGAGAGTTCTTTATTGTCTGGTAATTTGTTTCCATTTTTCTGCGATGCAAGTATAAGCGTTAACACGAGAGAAATTAATTATCGCGTACTCGATTGTCGTTATGATGCTTACGGAGTACATTTCCCTCATCGTTGTAAGGATAATGCTTTGCCAAGGAGGATAAGTCTTAGCCACCCAGATAATTCCTTGCCTGGGTCTCTCTGTGTCGGCAAGATCATTCTTTCCCTTGGACTTCTTCGGTGTCATGTAATTTTTCAGAAGAATTCTGAATGTATGAGCAGCACCCATTAGGTACTCGGACGATTTTATGAAAATTTCGTTTATCTCTCCTACCGCGGGCCATTTTGCATTTAATATACTGCCATTCTAATGAATCACATTAGTTAATTAAATTTTTGTCAAGTTACAATTTTAGGATAACGTACAAATATTCGCTTCGGTGCCAAAGCTTACTTCCTTGAGCAAGTTACTCCATATATGTTCGCAAACATGTGGACAAATGGGAGACAGAAGAATTACTTGAATCTTTATATACTTCTTCATTAGGTTCAGATTGACCATTGGACTTAGCTGCAAATATTTATCTCTAGCTGTTTGAAGTTCGTAAAATCCTGTTCTTAATGCTTCTTTGTAAAGCATTTTCGAGTAATTTTCACCAGTCTCTCGTGTTTTCAAATTAATTTCGCTGCAACGAATACATGTGCCATTGCAATTCTGTAATAATAGTACGAAGAAATGAAAACGAAGAGGTACCTTTCGAATACTTTATCGTGAAAATCTTGCAGAGCACTGCGACAGAAGTGATGATTCGTATTCAATACATCTTTGACCCATTCTACAAAATTATACAGTCTAAGAATTCCCGCATCGGCTGTACCTTCGAGGAAATTGGCATCCTCTATCGAATCACCAGAATCGGCTAGACAGAGACGCGTTCCGTCGGCCGAGAATTTTTTCACAGCCTCGGCAAGTGTTAAAAAGTTACCCTCCGACTTCGACATCTGCGTGTTGAAGCAAGAGTGAATACATAAATAAAATTTGATAAAAATTTCGAATAATTTCACGTTACCTTTGCTGAATTCAAAAGCAGATGACCATTTGCTCTTATTCCTTGTGGCCATAGCTCGGGCTGATTTGGCCACATCGCTGTGTGATTATAGAGAAAATACGTAAGGTGATTTTGTATTAGATCTTTTCCCGACGCCCTTAAATCTACAGGGTACCAATACTGAAATTCGTGCCTCATACGATCCAGAAATACTTTGTCTATATTTGTCTTGGGCAGTTTAGCATCTTTAAAGAAGATATAATCCCATACTTCCGACGTCATGTCGCAAGCTCTGTTAGAAACGGTTGTTGCAATGATTAATAAGTTATAATCACGGCTAAACGATACAACGTCAATCATTTTAATCTTACTTTATTCCATACTCATTAACTCCATCTCCTTTACAAGTTCCTCCTTGCAAGAAATGCGCTATTGTATAATAAGCCATGTAAATAGTAGAATCTGACAGAGATTCTATTAGCCAGCTTTTATCCCATGGTAATTTAGTGCCTGAAAATATGAGAATTGAAAAGATTGTTCATAAGACTAAATCACATTCTACTTATTTTGAAATAATTTATTTACCAAGTCCATAAGTTCTGGAACATGCGTGCTCGTGCAACCAGTCTAAAGAAGCAAGGAAATTCTTTCTAACTTCGTCGTGAAAGGTTTCGAGATTGTTTAGAGCCTCAAGCGTCTCCTTCTTCCAATTCTCTTCGCCATAATCCAAGTACCATTGGTCACATAAGGCCACTACACACTCATCGTTTGATCTCGAAATAACAGTTTTTTCTGGTTCATAATAAATCACCGCTTCGCCACTGTCTTTCATCTCCGTCTGTACTAGCTTCTTAATATCCTGTACTTTTTTGCCCTTATACGGACCTACTAATAGTACACCATCGTAAAATCCTTTCAGATATGCTGTTTCCTTTGCTTCCGCGAGTTTAACTTTATCATTTTGGGATTGAATCTTTAGCTTATCGTACAATGTAACTGCTACTAAATTGCCAAGTTCTGGAACTTCGATGATTGGAATCTAATGCAATATAATACAAAGGTATCAAGTTTCACGATCCTTGTCAATCATTCACAGGTAATTCATAGGTCGCATATTACATCATACAATATAATCTACTTACTGGATTATATGGCAATACCATCTCGTCGACAATTCCGTATTTCTCTCGAAGCGGCTGTTTCTTCTTCAGATCTACCAATGCGGCATAATCGTCAGGAGAATCGCTAGGGACGGAAGTTACAATGCCAGTACCCTTGTCTTCTTTTATCGTTAACATAGGCAGCGCATAAATCACCTCGTTAGATGTGAGGGGAGCTTCCAATTCCAGTCCTAACAAGTCCTACAAATATTTCTTATATAAAGATTTCCAAGTTGTATAACTCTATGTCTGTTCAACAACCAGACATACCTTGCCCGTGAGTTCTCCAACAACATCTATTTTTCCCTCGTCTTTAAAGAACCCTTGATAGGACATATTCCTCGCCGCGCGTTCCGTAGAAATGTACACGTCCCCGCGTGCTAAATTATACGCTATGTAATTCATGTCCGGATGAACCCAACAATTTGTTTGGCCGTACATTGTCTCTGGTCTTAAAGTCGCAGCCACGAGATAAACTGGTTTGCCGTCGGAACTTCTACAATAACGTATTATTCATTTTACAATAAATAATAAAGTCTCAGCGAGTCGAAAAATAATAATAATGTAAAAGCGCTACATGATTTTTGGAGGACGTCGAATCTTCATTTTGATCAACGTGTATTCCTGCGGCCCAACGCCTTCACCAGAGGATCTGTCATGATCCATACAAGGCTGACCATCTTTTGGCGAATAAATAGTGTATCTCTTTCCATACTTGATTTTGTTTCGAGACTTCAAGTGCTTAAATTGCCAGCGTATAAAAGAATCATAAAATGGATTTACATCCGTCGTAATAAATTTTCTTCGCCAGTCGATCTAGAGTATTTAAAATCAGATATGTGAAACTTTTGGAAAATTGTTCAGAGATTACTGTTTTTTGTGTTGGTTCTTTTTTATCTTACATGAAGACCGATAGATTTTAAGTCTTTCTCAGCGAGCGGTGGAAAATAATCCAACCAATATGCAGCGTCGGCAAACTTTATGATTTCCTCGTCTCGCAAGTCAAGGGCTTGCATAATCTGCCACTGATACTTAGCCGCACCGGCTTTGGCGACTGCTTTACTCTTTTTCCCTTTGCTCTTGTCCTTCGGCAGATCGTCCTCTTTCTCCTCCGTTGTTTCAATTGCTTCAGGAAACTTCGGTGGATAACCGTACGTTTCCATTTCTCTCGCCAATTTGTCAGCACACGCTTTAATAGGCATACCCGTGCAGTGAAACCCGAAGGGAAAGAGTACATTTTTTCCCAAGAGGCGATTGTATCGAGTAGCAAACTAATAAATACACACTTTTTAAAGTCATACTAGTTTAAGACGTTGAATAAGAATTACAGGAATAATAGGAATAATGAAGCATTAGAATTGTATACAAGGAAACGCATCAGACTGTAAAAACTTGAGACACGTACCTCGCACTTTGATAACGAGAAGGTGTGGCCGAGATGGAGACGTCCATTCATGTAGGGATACGGGAAAGTCGCGAAAAACTTTTCATCTGGTTTCCTACTTGACACAGATGCATTCGTTTCGTACACCCTCTCGGCATCCCATATCTTCTGTATCTCGCTTTCAATATTTTGAAGATACTCAACCTTAACGGTTCCTTTCCTTTCTGTCGTCTGTTAAACAAGACACGTATCATTAGCGATCCATGCAAAAGAATGCATATGTCATTGTAACAAATCATTGTAACAAATCGGATATATTGAACGACCAATTGTTACCATTGCACTGTGACAATTGAAAATTACGATTGCGGAAACCGACAGGCACACAGGCCGAAGACGCGACAAGATGCTTCACGTTTACGTCATACGTAAGATGAAAACTGTAAAATTCATTGTTCAATCAGTCATGTTGTGTGCTTACCATCTTGAATGCATTCGTTGCAAACAGCAACAACTGTAAATATTACATACGTTCGCGAACAGCACATGCACGATACCGCAAACTGATGCGAGACACGTGGAACCGGTGGAACTGCGGTTACGTTACGGCCCAGTGATGCGAACTCCGCTACTTTCACAGCACGCTGTGGTCCATGGTGGAAGGGATAACATGGTGTGCTCAGTTCGGCTAAACCACGCCTACTTTTGCTTTGCGACGGTT